AGGTGCATAAACTATGACCAACATCAGTGGCAGCTTTGTGGCGATTTGAAGGTTGTTGCTGTCTTGCTTGGCCTGCAGACTGGATACACAAAGTACTGCTGTTTTATCTGTGAATGGGATAGTCGTGCAAGAGATTCCCACTACATCAAGAAAGATTGGCCACTCCGACAGTCATTGGAGCCTGGGAGGAAAAGTGTTCAGCATCCACCACTTGTTTATTTATCCACAGTGGAAGAGTATCAATAGGAAAGATAGAGAGAGCCCCACATCAAAATATCCCTATAGCCCACGGATTCATTAGGGTACTCACCTGGGCGGTGGAAGACCCATGTTCAAATCCTATCTTCTTGTAAGGCAGAGAGGGGGGAATTGAATCTGGATCTAGGTGAGTGCTCTAACTAAAAGTTATAAAGTGTGTGGGGTGGTGGTGTCTTGACTACTACTTGTAAAAATGGCTTAGGAACCTAACTCCAGGAGAGGGGTTCCTGGCTGCAGATCACAAGCAGCGATAAGTATCTAACTCTGGGCTGCAGGGAGATGCCTAACACTATGTGAGGGGCTCAGGACACAATCCTCTTATTGGCTTCTCCTACTGGCTGGCATTGGCTGTTCTCCACTCAGCATGCTGGCTTTCGTGGATACCATTCTCAGGTGCCTCATGCACCACATAGGGAGCCCAGGCACCTAAATCAGGCATTGTGAATCCCAATGATTTTCTAGGCAACTAAGACTTAGGCATTGTGATACTGAGTATCACGATGCTGAAGGCCCAGATTTTTAAAGCTATTTAGGTGTTGTTGTGCTCAGTATCACAATGCTTAACTAATTTAGGAGCTAAATCTCATTTTCAAAAGACATTTAGGAGTCTAAATCCCATTGGCTGTTGATGGAATTAAGACCTAAGTACCTAAAATCCCTTTTGAAAATGAGATTAAGGCTCCTAAATCAGTTAGGCATTGTGATGCTGAGTATAGCAATGCCTAAATATAAATCTGGGCCTAAGTCTCTTTGTGAATCTAACTCTAACTCAGTTATTTACCCCTGACTATAAAAGTGGTGCATGTTCAAACCATTTTTTTCACTGTTCTCCCCGCCAGCACCAAAGCTTGTCTGTAACAAAATTGATAAAATAAATCAGAATAATCTTCAACCATTGTCACATTTTCCAGAGGCAAGGTCGTGTTTTTTAGTGACTGTAGTGTACTGAGTATGGAATAGTTTAGATGGTTACAGCTGAAGAGGGAAGTGAGGGATGTCAGATACCGGTGTTCTTAAAAAATTGGAGCCAGATTATGGCTTATGCATGTGGGGGAGTAATCTGCTCCCTGTTACACTCTGAGGTGGCTTGACTGGGCACAAATGGGTAAAAAGGGCCCACTGCTCCTTCCCTCAGGAAATGGGGAAGGAATGGACGGGAGCTTATATTTTGTCCCCCATTAAGTAATGATGTTTAGAACAATGTGAGTGCTAACAAATGTTTCCTAATGTGGTAGCACTCACAGACAGCAGATGAAGAAAGGCACAAGTAACTCATAGTTTTAAATGATCACTTTGTGTCTCAGAGAAACATAATGTTTAAGAGATATTGTGACGGGTTGGATCACAGAAACCCCCTGGGAGCTGCCACCTGATGTGCCAAGACTACTTCTACCCCTACCTCCCCTGCCAGCTCAGGGCCTCAGCACCCTGTCTTGCTGAGCCAGACACTCCCGTCTGCTCCAACAAAGACCCAGGGTCTGCATTGCTTGCCCCAAAGCTGCAGGTTTACCTGAAAGCAGCTCACAGAAGTGTTCCTGTCTTTAACACTCAGATGCCCAAATCCCAATGGGGTGTAAACCCAAAGAAATCCATTTTACCCTGTATAAAGCTCATGCGGGGTAAACTCATAAATTGTTCACCCTCTATAACACTGATAGAGAGATATGCACAGTTGTTTGCTCCCCCAGGTATTAATACATACTCTGAGTTAATTAATAAGTAAAAAGTGATTTTATTAAATACGGAAAGTAGGATTTAAGTGGTTCCAAGTAGTGACTGACAGAACAAAGTAAGTCACCAAGCAAAATAAAATAAAATGCACAAATTTATGTCTAATCAAACTGAATACAGATAATCTCACCCTCAGAGATGCTTCAGTAAGTTTTTTCCTCAGACTGGACGCCTTCCAGGCCTGGGCACAATTCTTTCCCCTGGTACAGCTCTTGTTCCAGCTGAGGTGGTAACTAGGGGATTCTTCATGATGGCTCCTCCCCCTTTGTTCTCTTTTACCCCTTTATATATCTTTTGCATAAGGCGGGAATCCTTTGTCCCTCTCTGGGTTCCCACCCTCTCCTTCTCAATGGAAAGACACCAGGTTAAAGATGGATTCCAGTTCGGGTGACATGATCACATATCACTGCAAGACTTCATTGCCCACTTGCCAGCAAACACATATACAGGAAGACTTACATGTAAACACAGCCATCTGTAGACAATTGTCCTGGTTAATGGGAGTCATCAAGATTCCCCAAACCACCATTAATGGCCCACACTTTGCATAATTACAATAAGCCCTCAGAGTTATATTTCATATTTCTATTTTCAGATACAAGAGTGGTACATTTATACATATAGGATGATCACGTTCCGTAGATTATAAGCTTTGTAATGATACCTTACAAGAGACCTTTTGCATGAAGTATATTCCAGTTATATTATATTCACTCATTAGCATATTTTTATAAAACCATATAGACTGCAACGTCACAGGTATATTGTTCAATATATCTGATCAAAATGAAACTGAAACAGACCAATAGGCAACCAGCTTGTACTGGTTAGCCTCATCATACAAATATGACAAAGCTATTAGAAATCATATAATTTTGGGCAGCAGAGATAATGAAGCTAGAGCTCATATGCTGTCACAGTCAGAGTTGGAACTTACTCATGCTGTTGATATCTACCACAACAGTGAAGCAAAGAAACTGCTACAAAAATTACAAGCATTTGAAGTAGCAGAAGATATATGACAGACACAAAACGGAGGCAAACAGACTAAAATAAGGATCTGAGCAGGGTCTGCAAAAAAGAGCAAACCATGCATGTATTGTGAGTGAAAATATGAAAAAGGCAAATGTCCAACATGTGGTGCTACCATACGCTTACTCAAAAAAAAAAGTCAGTTGGAAAAGTTTCTTTATGCGCCAGAAACAGTCCTACAATGTACATCAAGTTGAGCGTGGCAATGACCCCTCTTGAAGGGAATTTATCTCTACCTCCACTGTGTTGGGACTGTGAAGAAGAGCAAAGAAAGTCGTTTACCCAACTAAAACTTGAAGCATCACCAAGGCACCCACCTTAGACATTTAAATCTCAAATTGACAGTGGCTCTACCTTTGACATTAAGGATTACTGCAAAATTATACAAGAAAAAGCCCACATCTGATACCATGTTGTTAAAACCAGAGGTGATGTAAAGAGCTGCTAGAGGAAGCTATTTGCAGTGCACAAGAAGAAGTTTTATTGGATCCATGTGTGATGGATTGCCTCCTGCCTCCAGGGTGCGACCTGATATACTGGGATACCACTGAGCCCACCTGTTCCACCAGCCTGGGCTCCCTTATACTGTCCTGCTGAGCCAGGCCCTCAAGCTTCCTCCAGCACACACACAGCTAGGGACACGCCCAGCTGCAGAAAGACACAGACACTGAAATCAGCTCTGCATGGGAAGACTCAGCTAGGGAATTGCCCAACTCTCAAGTGCACTCCCCCTCTGGAGAGTAAACCCAAAATTGTATCGTCTTGCACTGCACAGTTAACTGTACAGCGTAAGCTCATAAAATTCACTCTCTTCCTCAGTGTGGAGGAAGACATGCACAGCTTTGTGCCCCCCAGTTATGAATTCCACAAACTGGTTTCAGAGCAAACAAAAACAAGTTTATAAACTACAAAAAGATAGATTTTAAGTGATTATAAAAGAGTTAGCAAACAGATCAAAGCTGATTATCCAGCAAATGAAACAAACACACAAGCTAAGCATAACACTAAAGAAACTGGTTACAAGTAGTAATTTCTCACCCTAAATGTCGTTGTAGGCAGGTTGCGGAGTTTCTTGAAGGCATGCTACTCTTGGTTGCAGCTTAAAACAGTAGGTATTTCTTTTACAGGCCAGACACCTTCGCAGCCTGGGTTCAGTTCTTTTCCTCCCCCTGACCTTTGTCTTTGTTTCTTAGATGTTTCCAGCAGTCATCCTGGGCAGAGATTCAGTGAAGAATGAACACTGATTAAGTCACTCTCCGACCTTAAATAGGTTTTACATATGGCGGGAACCCTTTGTTTCCACACTGGAAAAATACTGGTGTTCTATCATGGAGTCTAGTACCAGGTGACGTGATCCATGACCTTTCAGTGTCAAAGCAGCCATGAGTAAAAGGCCGTTTGTAGCATCCCAGGAAGCTTCTCCGGAAGGTGGGAGATTAGCATCTTCAAAGACTTATTGTTCTCCCTCATGGTTCATAGACTTGTCCCAGCTAATCAGCTAGACTGATTGCATTTTGTCTGGTGGGCATTCTCAGGTGCAAAAAACTATTGTTGTACAGATGTATAGTCAATATTCCTAACTAGATACAAAAATGATACATGCAAACAATTAGGATAATCATATTCAGTAAATCATAACACTTCTAATGATACCTCACACGACCCCTCTTGCATAAAATACATCTTAGATATGCTATAATCATATTAGAACAATATTTCTATGAAGAATATGGGGCATAGTGTCACACCATGAACCTCAGGAATTATGCTATGTATTCTTGAGTGCCATCTACTTGCACTTTATCTATTAACTATTTATATATACACAGGTATAGATCACTCCTATAACACCCTCCATCATTGAGCAGCCACATGATTCCTACTGTGATGTATCCGGAGGGTACCCAAGGTTGCGAGGTACCTTGCTACCACCTGCCCTTAGCAAGAGGAAGCCTTGTCTGTGCCTGCAGGGGTCAGCTCCCAGCTCCATAGGCAATGCAAGCACCCCCTCTAGGCCTCACAGGCCCCACTGTGTCTCTACAGGTTAGCAATAGACACACTCCAACACTTGAGCCTTCCAAGCATCTCCCTGGAATGTCCAGCCTCTGTTCCACTGGACACTCGTAGTATACACAGATTGTCTTCTTCCAAAGAATCACTACACCCCAGCTTATCAGTTCCATGTCTCCACTTAAAGCACATCACTTAGATATGTTTACAGTGAAATCAAATAAAAGTTTATTTAACAAATCACAGAGATTCAAGCAATAGCAAGTAGAAGTATTGGAAACAAAAGGTTACCTATGAAATAAAATCATAACACACATTCCAGAACCTATACTTAACTAGATACTCTGATGTCTTGTAGAGTAATACTCACCAAAAGTCCTTGCAGTGCTTTACAGCCAGATTTGGCTGTGCTCATTCATTCATGAGACAGGCATGCAGTCAGCTTGTCTCATAGGTGAAGGACACTGTGTCTTCCTTTGAACCTACAGATATACCCTAAAAATCCTTTGTCTTTAGTCGTAAACAGGAAACCACATTGCTGTTTGTCTCAGCCTGTGAATTTCCTCTTGTACATTTTGCAATCTCTTCTTTTGCCTGTGGCTCAGTATGCAAAGAGGCCTCCATTGTGAGAGGCAATACAGAAGATACAGAAGATACAGAGATGACCAGAAAGGGAGATAAGCATCTGTTTCCTCTGCCTGAAAGTAACGTGCCTTAGTGCCAAGACTTTAAGGACATAATTTTCAGTGTAAATTCATAACTCCTTAAATGTTATCCATACTTATATTTCACAATGACCAGTGGGCTACTGGCTCTTCCTTTGGTGAATTATTATGCCTATAATTCTGACCCAGAGAATCTGTGAAAAAACCTGTATATTTTCTCTACCCTCTGCCAGTTGACAGCAAAAGGTCCCTTGCTCACACCTTCCATGAGCTGCTCCTGATACAACCTTAATATTCTTATACTGTAGTCTTTAAAATGGGATCTGAATCTCAGTGGTATTTATTATTTTATAGTTCTACATATCACACCAAAATAAGCGTGAAAAGCCAAAGAAGACAGAGGTGATATAAATGTTGCTGGAAATTACACTTTGGTAAGTAAGTGCAGCTTTACATACTTGTGGGGGAAGGGGGCAGAAAGCACCCAACAAGAGCATATACGAAGGTATAAGAAACCAGGTCTCCTCCACTCTTACACTCACAACAATTCTTCAAAGTGAAACTCATACAACTAAGGACTTAGTTATTTACTAGAGATCACACAAAAGAGACATGTTAATTGAAAAGAGATCATGAGCCAGATTTATAGTCCTACATAAGGAATGTCTGCTTTTGGGGAAAAAAAGAGTAAAAACCTTGAATGCCAAGATTAATTCAGAAAGTACTTAATCAGAGGGCTTGATTCTCTCCTACACCAGAGCTCAACTCAGCAAAGGAGAGAGAGAGGCATCAGGGACCTGGTTCCACCTGCCTGATTCTGAGCATCAGACTCATCCCTGAGGAGACTTAGAACTCCTTCTGGTCAGTTCTGATTTGTACCACTGACTCAGAACCCTACCCCAGATGTGGCCAGTTGTAGCATTGTGGAGATCTACCGCATCCACTCCTCACACACTAGAGCTGGGTGAATAATGGATATTTCAGTTCATTGGCAATTCTGAAAAATTGAAAAAAAAAATATTTTGGGTTTAACTTTTTTTTTTTTTTAATTTTCAGTTAATCGAATGAAAAAAATCATTTTGGGTCAAACAAAATGCTTTGGTTTCATTTTTAACATTTTAAAATTATTTGTTTTTAAGCAAAAATAAAGCAAATTTCAAAACAGTCATTTAAATAATCGAAATATTTCATTACAAAAATATAAAAAAAGTTTCAAATTTTTGTTTGTTTTTTTAACTAGAAGAATTTGGAGAAACTGACATGAATTTACAAAAGTTTTTGGTGTTGCCGAATCTGAATTTTTCACCAAAAAAAAATGTTTTGGCCAAAAAATGTCATCCAGTTCTACCACACATTTCCATCATACTCCCCGTGCTGAGTTGGCCGGGGTAATGGGAATGGCACACAATTAAGATCATTCATATAACAAGTCAACAGTTGTGTGTAAAATGCAATGCTGACAGACTGGAAGGTCCTATTCTATATAGGCTCTTATACCACGCTCATAATTGTAGTATCTGTGTGCCTGATTATCATGGATTACATGGGTCAATTCAAAGAGAAGGGTAAAAAGATTCCATTCCCCTTTGTGTGCTTAGCATTCGTAGCCTTCATAATCTACTGGACAAACACTGCACTATAACTAATTATTTGCAAAATGCAGAGGTTCTCACTGTGCCATATCCACACTTTTTCAGCATGCTGGGAAAGAACTGCCACCTATACTTTTGAATTCTGCCAGATGAGTCCTGGAACAGAAGATTTTTGTTCATGTTTAGGTTAATCACTCCCCTTTTGATGAAACCCACCAAGTCTGAAATAAAAGATTTTCATAATTACAATGTCCAATTTTTCAGCTTTCCTCAAAAGCTTTATTTAAATCCTTCATGTCAGGGCTAATGAGTGATATGGGATGATGATTGGTACATTCTAATTATATTTCCCAAGCTTGGGAATTACCATAATTAGAACCTCCAACATCACTCTTGTCACTTAACCACAAATCCAAAATTTCTGATAGATCTTTAATGCCATGGGTGCCTGAAATTCATCAAAATGTACATAAAATTCCATCACCACTAGGAGATTTCACCTTTGTTTAATCTGCTGTCAGTCATTCATTAAATATATAGCATTCAATGCCAAATAACACATCAAACAGATTCATCACGCAAAGCCAATTACAAGTGCTTTCAAGAGAAAAGGAAGGAAGATGGTTTCAGTCCAAAAGAACTAAAATCTTATTCACAAGGACCAGATATTCCATACCCTGGGAACATAAAATGTAAAAGGACAAGCATCGAAAAAGGCACACCCAATTTGATTTCAACCATCCAATTCATGTCAAACACAGAAATCAACTGTAGGCTTGGAGGGAACTAAAATATCTTTATGGTAACTTAAAAAGGCAGGGTTTGAACTTCTTTTAGACTATTTTCACTAATAATGACCAGATTTCTAATCTTCCTTTTTTGGGGAAAGGTAGAGAAGCTGGTATTAAATAAACCCTTTCAGTAACAACTATTTAATCTGTTTCTAGGCCTGTATACTATCTGAAGACTACACCAATTTAATTGATCAAGGTAAAAGGCTAGAAACACACTTTTTTTCTTTTCTATACTCCTTTACAGAAGAGATTTCCCAAGGCACAAGTGGGAATTAAATGCCCAACTCCCATTGACTTTCCACCAGAGATTGGGACCTAACTGACTTGTTGCCTTTGAAAATCTCCCATTTCATGTCTATCTCCTCTATGTAAAAGAGCTTGCAGCCACAGGCTTTTTTGGGTGCAAATCTGTCTTCATTCCTTTCAGACATTGCAGAGTCACCTAAATTGCAAAGGCCAGTACTGATTGAAGAAAAGATGATTTACTCCTATTTTATGATTTGCTAAAACTTAATTGAAGAAAACCAGGTTGGAATTTGCTAATAATCTATTTTGACTTAACTCTTCTGAAACAAATATTGAGACAGATATTCAGTTAATATTAATTAACATAGTTCCACTGAAGTCTGTGGGGCTGTGCCAGTTTACACCAGTTAAGAATACGGCCTATTAAATATACGTTTCTCTGTCACTCATTTTGGACATCAAGGGAGGATCTGGGTTTAAATGAAAACTTGGAGTCAATTAAATCCTGCGCATTCAGTTAAACTGTGGATTGCAGAAAGTTGAAAGCAATGTATCTGATTAAAAAACCTCTTCAGAGTTCAACAACCAAGGAGTTAAAAATGGATCAAGAGCTCATGAAAAGTCCAAATGTTGAAATTTGGGAAGTGCTAGAGACAGGTGCCCTGGAAATTGTTCCTATTGCAGATCTATCAAGGAGATGATTTAGCTTCCTGCAGTCCCCACATTCTCAGTGGTTTGTAGTGTGTATTAAATCTAAACTTAGTATGTCTAAGGTCAAAACTTTTCAGGATAGATGCCTTAAAGATTTAGGAGTGACAGTTTATAAAGGAAATCTATTGCTTAAGTTAGATCTGAATATTACTTTACAAAGTATATTAAGTCACTAGAATTACAAGAAATTCCTTGGGTTTGGTTGGATGGGGAATTTATATCTATGGAATATGATGATTGGCCTGACAGTAGTATCAAGGGTGTTTATTATGCTGTTTTTTCAGTAGTGTGCATTCTTGTCAGGGACTTCACTTAGGTAAAATAAGCCTGTGGGAGGGTTGTTTTCAAACACAGAACTTCAGAAAGAAGCTTAGTGGATGAGCAGACAACATCAGCATTCCCATGTGAAGTAAAACCTGCATGTAAACAAGTGGTGAATTGTTAACACAATTAAGAAAAGTAAGAGGTAGATCCTGATTCTGCTCTCACTTGTGTTTGTGTCAATTCTAAAGTTAATGGCATTACGCTATGTAAATGTAGTGTCAGAATCAAAGAC